CATGAGCCCAGGTTATTTACTTACACAGAGAAGTTCAAAAAGCACTGCTCAGGGAGCAGGGATGAGGAAGTGGGAGCCGAAATGTTGGGGGTCAGGGGGTTATTGGTACCACCGCCTAACCACTTCACCAGTGTGGCCTTCCCTTTATACGTGGGAATGAGAAAAATCAGGAAGAAACATTGGAGGCTCTTTGCTGAAGACTCAATTAAGCCAAAAGCATAACTGGGTAAGAAAGAGTGTTTTCTGTCCCCAGCAGGGCTGGGCAGGAGCACGGTGACCCGGCCGGGAGGGGAGCTGGCTGAGGACAAGGGCTGAGGCCTCCCTCGGAGAAGTCAAGTCAACCGGGCTGGGAGGCCCTGGCTGCAGAACAGACATCACAGCCCCAGGGTTAATATTTCCTCTGCTGAGGGCTGACCTCGCCCTCCCTTTGGAAAAGCAGAGAGCAGCTTTGTAATAGGCTCCACTTCACAGGAAGGAAGGAGGCAGGGAGGGAGGGAAGGAGCTGCGCTCAGAGCCTTTCTGAACAAATGAGTTTTTACCAAAAGTTTGCAGACTTAAGGCTTAGGAGGGGCTTCCCTGGTGGCTCAGTTGGTAAACAATCTGCCTGAGATGCAGGAGACCTGGGTTGGATCCCCGGGTTGGGAAAATCCCCTGGAGAAGGGAATGGCAACCCACTCCAGTATTCCTGCCTGGGGAATCCCAGGAACACAGGAGCCTAAGGGAGTACAGTCCATGGAGTCACAAAGAGTCAGACACGACTGAGTGATGAACACTTTCACCTCCAAGGCTTAGGAGATGGGGCCTCCCCAGTGCCCCTTGGCCAGTTGCAAACCACAGTGGCACCAGATCACTTGGCATTCGAGGTCTCTCATTAAATATGGCCCCCCGCCATCCACCCCTGCCCATCCCAGCCTGGCAAACCAGCAGGCCAGGCTGCCAGGAACTCTCTGCGACTTTGCTTATCCTATTCAGATGTCAGCAGTCAGTTCCTGACTCAGACCTGAGCTCCACCAGGCCACCACCCTTCTCACCTCTGCTTACACGGAGTGTGTTAAGTCACTCAGTCATATCTGACTCTTTGCGACCCCATGGACTGTAGCCCGCCAGGCACCTCTGCCCATGGGATTCCCCACGAAAGAATACTGGAGTGGGTAGCCATTCCCTTCTCCAGAGGATCTTCCAAACCCAGGGATCAAACTTAGGTCTCCCACATTGCAGGCAGATTCTTTATCATCTGAGCCAGCAGGGAAGCCAGCTAGTGTAAAATAAAAGGGTTTAATACTAAAGTAACTGCTAAAATATTAGAAATCATACAAATGATAGTTCACTATCACAACAGTCTAGTAGGGAGATGGAGATAATATTTCCAATTAAATGACTGAAGCAATTTGTGCTTTTTCTTCTTCACCTATCCTCTGGCGTTTAAGAGATGGATCTTCATGATTGTCTCAATTTACGGTCTGCTTACACGGAGGGTAGCCCCAAACCTCCCAAGAGCCTGTGTCTCCTGAAACCACGTTCATTTTCTGAGATGTCACTAGAAGTCGGCATTCTCAGAGCCTTACAGCTGTGGGGGGAGGGGTGGTGGTGGTGGTCTCTAAGCCAATTATCTGAGAGTGACCATCCCTGGTCCCAGGAGTGGGCTTGGAACACTGCAGAAGTTAACCTGACAATCAAACAAGGCAGCGTTCCCAGGGGAAGGAGAGTGGCATGTGAGGCTTCTTTATAAATACACAGGTTTCAACATCCCTGAAAATAGCATCCCTGAAGTAACCTCAGAGTCCAACTTTTGCATGCTTATTGAGCACCTACTACAAATAGAGACATTACTTTGCCAACAAAGGTCCGTCTAGTCAAAGCTATGGTTTTTCCAGTGGTCATGTATGGATGTGAGAGTTGGACTATAAAGAAAGCTGAGTGCTGAAGAATTGATGCTTTTGAACTATGGTGTTGGAGAAGACTCTTGAGAGTCCCTTGGACTGCAAGGAGATCCAACCAGTCCATCCTAAAGGAAGTCAGTCCTAACTATTCATTGGAAGGACTTATGCTGAAGCTGAAACTCCAATACTTTGGCCACTTAATTCAAAGAACTGACTCACTAGAAAAGACCCTGATGTTGGGAAAGATTGAAGGCGAGAGGAAAAGAGGATGGCAGAGGAGGAGATGGTTGGATGGCATCACTGACTCAATGGACATGAGTTTGAGCAAGCTCTGGGAGCTGGTGATGGACAGGGAAGCCTGGCGTGCTGCAGTCCATGGGGTTGCAAAGAGTTGAACACAACTAAGCAACTGAACTGAACTACAAACCAGGACATCTGCATTTCCTATGAGCTGGGCACATATTTGAGAGGCCAAATGGGCCACTGAGTTGGAAGTCTCCTCCAGGGAATGAGAAGAGGGGAGGGGAACTATAGCCACGTTGCCCAAATCAGAGAAGCCAATACCTACAGAGGACTAGGATCCAAGGATTAAAAGAAAAAGCACCCTTCGAAGTAAGCTGATGCTGACTTCCCAACACATTGTCACTGCTGGAGGAAGAAAATCACAGGGTTTTACTCGAAGCACCAAACCCCAATCAACATATGGCAAGTTCTGCCAGACAGAGAAGGGAGCAGGACAGAGATCTGGCATAAAAGCTCACATGCATGCTCTGTGAACTGCAGAACAGAGATGATGGGAGCTCCGAGAGCTCTCCTTCCAGACACGTCTCCACCCAGAGGAGGAGAAGGTACAGGCCAGCGGTCAGCTGATAAAGACGCACCTCAGGCCGAGTATACAGGACAAGATGACACCAGGGTATACTTATATATGAAGGACCTGTCTGGTCTTTGTCCCTTGGTTGCTCCTGGAAGATGACCCTCAGTTGCTGGACCTTCTTTCTTTCTTCATTTGGCTGCACCAGGTCTTAGCTGCAACATGTGGACCTTAGTTGTGGATCTAGTTCCCTGACCAGGAAATGAACCCAGGCCCCCAGGAGCCTAAAGTCGTAGCCACTGGACCACCAGGGAAGTCTCAATCCTTGGATTTTCTTAGTACCGGGGGCGTATCTTTGTTATTCTCGATGCGCCCTTGAGTCACACCCGAGTTCATGCTAAATGACTCAGAATGGGAGCAATAGAAGCTCCACTTTCTCTGGGGAGGGAAGAGGGTCTGGAGATGACAATCAATCATCTGGTTAATGATTCAATCAATTGTGCTAATATAACGAAACCCTGATAAAAACTCCGGACACTGAAGCTCAGTGATGCATCTCTGTGCCAAGAGGGTCCTTCCATGGCAAGAACCCAGAAGCTCCGCACACAGGACCCCCTCGGCCTCACCCTCAGTGTCTCTTCATTTGCCTGGTCTCATGTGTAGTGCCTTCCTGAGCTCTGTGAGTCCTTCTAGCAAATTATCAAATCCGGGGTGGGGGTGGGAACCCCCAAATTTGTAGTCAGTTGGTCAAAAGTACACATGGCCTGGGGACCCCAAGCCTGCAGCGAGTATCTGAAGTGAGGCAGGCTCACGGGAAAACTGTGTCCTTAAGGGAAGAGAGTCTGCTCACTCCGGGTAGTCCGCATCAGAATCGCACTCCAGTGTCACAGGGGTGCAGGGCCACCCTGTCTGAGGCCAAGGATCATGCAGGACCCAGTCTGAATTTTCCAGGACTTTCGGTCTCCTTTACCCACCCACTCCCCCAAATCCACTGAAAATACAACTTCCTCTGAAGTCAGAGTGTTAAGAGTCACAATTTAGGCACATACGGCAGCCCAAGGAGCAGGCGTAATTCACACGGCCAGCACTGTGGAATAAAAAGTAAAGCACGGACCCTCATTCAGCAACCGTGCGATTTCAAGCAAATGACTAAATCTCTCGGAGCCTCAGTTCCCATCTCCCTGAGATAAGGCTAATGACCCTTCACCCTCATACAGCTGACGAGACAAATCAATGAGGCAACTTATTTACAAAGAGCCTAGCATATTCTGTCACACGTGGAAGGCACTCACACATCAAGCCCTCCACTTCCAAACTGCCCTGCACCCCGAACTCTCTCAGCCTCTCAGCTCTCTCTGGATAACTGTTCTGGCAACATGCTGATGTTTTAGATCCCAAGGCAGCAGGAAGCCAACCATTAAACCGAAAGTGAAAAGCAAGTAACCATTACCTTGAACAAAAAGGACATTTATATTTACTTCAGTGGCTATAAAAGACACCATAAAATATAATATGCAGCATGCATCCTCATGATTCATAGCAGATCTTGCAAATTATTCTCTCAGGTCCCTGGGTGCATCCAGCTGGTCACTAAGAACAATTAATTCAAAGGGATGGCGAACCATCTCTGGTCAGTGAAAAATCTGCTTGTTGTATTATGAATAAAGAGAACAGAAAATGAGATTCAAATTTAGGATTTTTTTTTTCCTACTCTTATGAATAAGGTGAAGTAAGATCAGAGAGATTCAGACACAATTACTGTGAACCTGGGTGCTCAGTGAGAGCTGAGACCTGCCACATCTGGGGTCATAGGGACCTGGAGACTACAGACACAGGAGTTAGAACAGGCATTTGCAGGTGTCCCCAAAACTGGAGCAGATGATCGGGGCCGGGGGGAGGGGGCAGGCTGGCAGCAGGCAACAAGGCAGAAGCAGCGTCTAGCAGGTAACCAGCAGGTTTCAGAGCAGAAGCCCAGCCACATGACTGAGGTTTAGACAACAGTCTCAGGAGTGGGGATATCGAATGATGAATCTGAGGGCTAAGTCAGGAGCCAATCAACAGAACAAGGGAGGTGCCAGGTCACAGGGAATGAGGGAAGAACCCAGGGGAAGCAACGTCAGAGATTTCCACTGAGCCTCTGAGCTCTTGGCCTTAGCTTCCTGACAGTGGCAACCAAGATCTGTCTCAGAAAGGAAGAGAAACATACAAGAATCAGAAAGTGGACGCACAGTGAAAGGCTGGAAGGATTTTGGGGACAAGAAGTCAAACAGATCACAATGGCACGTGGTATCCACGGCAACTCCTACCTCGTGGCCTGAGTGGACTCACTCCCAACCTGGAAAAAATGGCCCGCTGACCACGCTCTTGCCCTGAAGCCCTGAAGTGGTTTTTATTGAATCACAGTACATAAAGTCACCAAAGGGGTCACCATGACAGCCGTGAACTCACAGCTGCAACAGAACCTGGCTCGGGGGCCGAGCCAGCCCGGGAAGGTCGGCACCTCCGGGCAGGGACGGCGCAAAGAGAGAAACCTCCTCTCCAGCAGTTCAGGGACCAGGCTCCTCTGCAGAAAAACCAAACGTCTGGCGAGTTAAACATGCCTTCAGTGGGCTCCATGGTCCATCCTGACCACCAGAAAGGTGAACAGAAGCAGGTGGGGCGGGTGTCCAACCCAAAGGCACAGACGGGGAGCGGGAAAGCAGACTGCCATGCCTTCTCCCTGGGAACGGACAGAAACCTTCCTGGGACACGGCCTGGGGCCCCGAGACGCGGGCCTCACGGGAGAGGACTTCCAGAGGCGGAGCATGACGATGCCACGGACAGGGATCGCGGGGCTCCGCGGGGCAGGAGCGGGGCAAGCGGTGGAGACACAACGGAAGAGTGGGGGGTGAAGAGACCCCTCGGCCACGGCAGGGGCCACCGCCGGGCAGGGGGCAGCGAGTCCACTCAGTGCGGAGCAGGCAGCAGCCAGCAGAGCAGAGCCCAGACCCAGCCGGTGAGCCTCAGCCCCTTCACGTGCAGAACGAGCTCGTGAAGGTTGATCTTCCATAAGCTGAAGGCCTCCCTGAGAGAGATCCGGGCCCTTCTGAAGAGTGAACGGGTCTTCTGCTTCTTGTGCCTGCAGGAGGGGCGCGAAGGAAGAGAGAGAAGAAGAGATGCAGAGTTGAGACGCGCAGCGTCACTTAGAAAAATGGAAGGCGGTGGCTCTGTCAACTCACCACCCACCTCCCCAAGGGGACGACAGCTCCTGGCTACGTGATCAGACCACTGCCCAATCCGGGCCCAGAGGAACTCAGCTAGTTTACAGGTAAGTGGGTAAGTACAAGCACATGTTACACACCTCATCAAAGGCCTGGAGGACCCACTGGGTATCACCTTTCAAAGTCTCTCTTTTTCCAAAAGTAGAGTTAATATTCATCAAGTCAGAACCCCCAAAACTCAAATGAAAGAGCTCTCCCAAACTTTCTGAGGCTAAGAATTGCCTGGAAACCTAATCAAGGTGGTCCTGGGGAGCTGGGGCCATGATGGACTCTGCCCAGCTCAAGGCCTTCTGCACCAACAAAAGGACATGATGGAAACTGGTGTTTATGAGGATCACCTACTCAAGACTTTTGTTTGCCATTTTTTTTTTCTGGCCACACCACACAGCTTGCAGGACCTTAGTTCCCCAACCAGGGACTGAATCTAGCCCCAGCAGTGAAAGCACAAAGTCCTAACCACTGAGCCACCAGAGAACTCCCAAGACTTCGTTTCCAGAACCTCAGAGGAAGAATGAATCGTGTTCAGCCCTTCCCTATGCAGTGTATTTTGCTGTAATCTAACTCAGTATTTGATAGTGGGTGCATGATGCATGTGGCCAACATGTTTGACCCGTTTACCAGAATGACCCACTCTCTGCCTAGGAGGGATGATGGCTCAGAGCTGACCAGTCCAGGCCTTCCCTCTTGGGTGGGAGCACTCAGGCCTTGGGTGGGAGCATGGGCCTTCCCATGTATGTGCTACCATCCAGTAGAAGAGCCTAGGACCCCCATTCCTCTACTATTCCCTCCCTGGGGAAGCACCCTTCCCTTCCGTATCAACAGCTCCGGATGCTGAAGCATCTGAAAAGACCTGAGATCCCGAGAGAACCGGCTGGGGACACATGTCCTGAGTCACAGCCACACTCGCAGGGAAAAGAACACCGGCCTCGTTGCCTGGCGGGTGCTGGGGACACAGTCCCAGGACCAGGCACGGATGAGATATGCGTCAGGGCATCTTGATCCCAAGTCTGGGGACTCTTGGGTGGGACTGAGACTATGAGAAAACATTGCAGACTTTACTGAGCGTGAGGGTCACGAGGAACGCTTGCTCGGGAAGGTGAGGTCCCAGAACCCACAATTTTAACCAGTAGAGGTGGCTCTCTTGGAGCACCTTAAACACAGACCCGAGGTGTCAGCCAGTTCCCTGGAGCTGGCTTCTGCCCCTAACTTCCTGCAGGAGGAGCTGGAGACTGGGGCGCTCAGGCCGGGCCCTGGGGGCTGGGGGAGAAAGCAGAGGCCTGCAGACCCCTGGGGCGGATCGGGGAGCTGGGATGGGAGCTGGCCGGAGCCCACACTCACGCGGCCAGTGCCCTGATGCAGCATCGCGACATGTTGAGGAAGGAGCTGGCGCTGGCGCGGATGCCCGGGGCGGCCTCGATGCCTCGCAGGAGGTCGTTGGTCTTGAAGATGAGCAGCATCTGGCGCGGCACGCGGTTGAGGAGCTGACTGATCTGGGGGAGGTAGTTGGCCGCGTGGTTGCGGATCTCTGAGTCCTGAACAGAAAGAGGCGGCCTGAGTGGGGAGGGGGGCTCAGGGTGGCAGCAGGCATCCGGGCTGCCAGCGATCGGAAGGGCTGTGGGGAGGCTCTGGGAGAGAGGGTCTAGCACAGCGGCCTCGGCAGCACTAGGAACCTTCCCGAGGGAGAAGCTCAGCCCAACGGTGTTGTAGCCAGACGAACCTGGACAGGATGTTTCCCCCAACTTCCGGCCCAGAACCAGACACAGCACCAGAGTCCGTCACCGCGGGGGAACAGACCTCATTTCTACTGCCTCTGCCGTCCTAGCTCCTTGCAGCCAAGGTCACCAACACCCAGCCCCCATCCCCACAAGCCAGTACCGATGGGGCAGGGAGTCTACCTCCCCACAAACCATCTGATGGGTCCAGCCTCTCAGCCCAGGGGTCCACCTTTGCGTTATTCTCCAAGTTTCTGCACTGGCCACCAGTTTTCAGGTCAGGTCGGGAAGGACTCTTGGAAGCTGTTACTGGCTGAGTCACCAGTACTGGCTGAGGCCCCCGTCCCTCCAGCCAAACCCAGGCTGGAGCAGTCGAGACCTCTGAGCTCCTGACCCCAAACCCAAATCCAAAGTCCTGCCCCACACCCTGCCTGACCCCAAGCCCCGCCAGACCTGTTCACACAGCCACCGCCCATCACTGTCCTCCAGGCTGGAGACAGCATCAGCCCACCCATGCCCAAGGTCCTCAGGCCCTTGGAACAGGATTCAGGGCCAGCCCTTGCCCCATCCTGGTGGGTAAGTTTCAGGGCCGGTTTCCCAGCCTTCCACGTCCCTGAGCTCTGCGTGGTTCTGGGCAGATAACTGCCTCCAGACAGAGTCCTGAGTATAGAGCAAGGCTCTGATCCCGTCAGGGCTCCAGGGAAGCAATGATGGTGATGGTGATGACAAGAGTCCATGTGTACGGAGCATCACTAAGGAATGCGGGCACTCTGACATGCTTGCATGCATGAACTCACCTCATCCTCACAACAACCCTCTTAGGCGAGTGTATATCCCCATTTGAGAGGAGGAAGCTGAGGCCCTAAGAAGTAAAATAACCTCCCCAAGGTCCACAGCTAGTGAGGCAGGAGTCAAACCCTGGCCTTTCAGCTCCCAAGCCTGCACCCTCACCTCCAGGCTACACTGCCTGTCATCTCACAGAGCGCTATGAGGCCCAGGGTCCTCCCCTAAAACCTGGGCATGCTGTGCCTGCCTCCCAGAAGAACCCCGAGGGTCCCCAGAGGCAAGGTGTGGAGGGGCGCACGGGGCCAGGCGAAGTCACGCCAGGGCCCAGCGGTGCTGCCCAGCGCTTCGCCCCGAAGCTGCCCTCTGCAGCGGGAGCAGGACTCTCGGCCCTTTCAGACACACGTGTGCACAGCTGACAACTGCCTCACTGTGAAACCTGAAATGTCCCCCAGGCAGGAGCTATCAGACTAGAACATCTCAACACGAACACAGATGCCAAGAGCTTGTCTGCCTCCCCACCTCCCGTCCCCCGCTGCTTACAGGGACTAAGGCCAGATCAAGGCCCCGATCACCACAGAGACTCCTCTAAGTGAGGTCGGACTGGCCTGGTAACGGCCCCTCTGGACCCAAACGGAAGCCCCCGAGTCCACGCAGGCAACGCTGAGGGGCTATTTGTCAGAGGGGCTATTTGTCAGAGCGGCACAGCCTTCAAGCTTGGCCCCTGCTGGATGCCTACCCGACTGCAAACATAAAACTCTAACTCAGTTAATATCAACAGGTATCGTTCACCAAGCATCTACTGAGTGCTACCTGATCTCTTCCATCTCTGCGTCTTTAATCCCATCTAGAGGCTGTGTGCACACCAAGTTGCTTCAACCATGTCCATCTCTGTGAGAACCCATGTACTGTAGCTCTCCAGGCTCCTCTGTCCCTGGGATTTTCCAGATAAGAATACCGGAGCAGGTTGCCATTTCCTCCTCGAGGGGATATTCCCAACCCAGGGACCAAACCCAGGTCTCCTGCATCTCCTGCGTTGCAGGCAGATTCTTTACGGCTAAGCCATCGGGGAAGCCCATAAGACCTGGCACAGCCAAAAGAAAAGAAATAAAAAGCAAACAAACAAAACGCATCTTGGCTCCATCTGCTTCTCTCCACCCCCACTGCCGTTAGCACAGTCTCAGCACCAAGGTCTTTCCACCTGCATCAGCCCCACGGCTCATCTTGCCCCACTCCAGAGAGAGGCAACAGACTGAGTCTGAGCATATCCTTCTCCTGCTCACAAGCTGTCAAAGGCTTTGCTTTGTCCTGAGAAAGAATCTGAACTTCTCCCTATGTGATGCTCTCCCAGCCCAGCCCTCCGTACGCTTCTCAGCCCAGCATGCCTCTCCCTGACTCTAGACTACCCAAGCCTCTGCCTGGTTGCTTTCTCCAAGTCCTCCTGTGGCTGATGCCTTTCTTTCTTTTATCCATCCGACTGCACAAGGTCTCAGTTTCGGTATGGGTTATCTTGTTCCTTGACCAGGGATGGAACCCGGGCCCCCAGCACTGGGGTGTGGAGTCTTAACCACTGGACCACCAAGGCCGTCCCTGGTGCCTTTCTCGTCCTTCAGGCCTCAGCTTACGTGTCGACTCCCCAGCGAGGTCTCCCCTATGGCGTCCCCCCACCCCACATCATCAATGGCGCCCTGCTGGTCTCTCCCTGGCACCTCTAACCTGCAATCACTCCATTTACCTGTTTGTTCACTTGTTTACCATCTGTCTCCCTCTGTCACAGTGCAAATCACATGGAAGGCCTGTCTGTCTGTTCATCACTGGGATCCACAGGACTCAGTCCAGAGTCCAGCAAAAAACAAACGTCTGTTCCATGAACAAAGTTCAGAAACTACAGGGAGGCCCTTTGCACTGGTTATCAATGAAGCAGAATTATCCTCCCTGCTCAAAAAAGGAGGGAGAGGGTCCCTCTTCTTCTGAGACGATGCGCTGAAAGCTGCGTGAGCCCGGCAACCGGCGGTCATCTCTGCCACCAAGTCTGCTGGGGAACAATGTCAACTTAGTGGAAAGCGGCACCAAGAGACGTGCCTGCTGGGGGACGTCACTGGAGACTCTGGACCCAGCCATTGCTAAAGCCCCCACCCCAAGGCAGCTCACAGGGCAGGACTCCGAGGCTCAGAGAGGCGATGAGAACCCTCCAAGGGCAGGCCTCCAGGAGAAGCAGAGGCCGGAATCAGAGCCCAGGGCCTTCCACCGCACAAGCAGAATCCAGTCCCTGGTGGCGAGTGTGAGCCCCTCCCCACATGGACACGAGCAAGTCTGGACAGGCCTGCCAGCTGACGGCCTAGGAAGACAGGAGGCGATTCCACGAGGAACTGAGACGCCTGGGAGGGAGCTCACCCCAAGCCAGGAAGAGTCAGCCCCACATCCAGCCCTGCCGCGGGGCAGCGATGAGGACGCATACAGAGAAGGGTGCTCCCAGGGCTGCATTGACCCCGGGACTCCTGACCCCTGGGGACTCTCGTCCAGAGCCTGTTCCAGCACAAACTCCATAGGACAATGGGACAAGAGCAAGCCTTTGAGCACGCCGTGAGAAAGCAAAGCCCCCTCCCCACAGGGCGCCCTAGAGGAACCCCGCGATGGGAGACGGTGCCCAGCAGGAGACAGCGGGCAGTGCCAGACTCACTTATGAGTCAAGTCTCTGGGGGATGCCCAGAAGTCCTGCAGGAGAATGTGGTGGCAGGCTGAAGCCTTGTGAGAGCAGGTCAGTGTGAACATCACAGGGCCGGGGTTATACAGTCAACACGACCTACTTAATCCTCCAAGGCTGGAAGGCGGACACAGCAGGACACCGCTCCATCCCCCTGCCCCCGCCCCGGGACACTGTTTCTCCCACCCCTACTCCTCAGGCAGGACCTCTCTAATTCTGCTCCCACCCCCCACTCCAGCCCCACTGCCCACCAGCGTGATCTCAGACCCTGGGTGAGCAGGGCTCCACCCTCGGCCCTGCCCCCTCGCCTCCTCGGGCACAGGGCAGGACCGGGAGCGGAGGGCACCCACCTCTGTGGCGGTGACGGGAGTCTGGCCGATGCCCCTGTTGACCGCGTCCCAGGACCGGGCCGTCAGCATGCAGGCGAACAAGGGGTAGAGGTCGCCGGCTCCCAGGCGCTGGCTGTACTTCCTCACTCTCTGCATGTCGGTCCAGATCAGCGACTGCCAGAGGCGGCAGTAGTCCAGGCGGAACTCTTCCGTGAGCGCCTATGGCGGGGGGGGGCAGCGTGGCAGGTTGGGGGCCTCCTCCCCCCTGTGAAAGACCTCGTCCCCGCCCGGTGTGACCGCTGTGAGCAGGGCCGGGGAGACTGTGACACCTGCCCAGAGCCTGTATCCCCCGCCAGTCAGCCATCCTTAAAGATCTAAGCGTAAAGCTACTATTGGGTCAGCCTTGGTCCTGGAGAGTGTTAGAGGCTACCAACAGCCCACCAAAATCTACACTCCCCTCTTCTTCCCACCCACAGCCTACCACCGGGCTGTCCTCTGTTTTAGATGTAGCTCTCAGCCTGAGTTCTGACCGATGGGATGTGTCAGAAGCTCCACTTCCAGGCCTGGTCCATGAAACGTTCCCAGGCATGTTCCTCTGAGCCTTTGCTCTGCTCCCGGGGGCTGGCAGGCGAGACCCTCAAGGAGACCCGGGAGGTGATGCTTCGGTCAGTCCCTGCCTTTGGGGCTCCTCCACACAGCCCAGACTGGTGTGCGAGCAGGCAATGAGACGTCCGTTGTTTCTGGGCCATGACTCATTTAGGGGCTGTGTCCACCCGAAACTAACATGCCCAGCATCACTGAGCCTTTCAAAGGAAGCCCAGGTTTGGGGATGTGAGTGGGATCAGAGCTCTGAGCGGAGAAGCGGGAGACCAGCTGGGAAACCTCGCCAGGACCATCGGCTTCATGGAATCAAACCAGGACCCAGGGCCTGGGATAGGCAGGGAACTTCTCATCTTCCCAACAGCAACACACGGCTCACTGGTACCAGCTCTCTGTCCCCAGTTCCAGAGGATGGAGTCAGGGTCAGCCAGCCCCTGTGAGTTTCCCACCCCCACACCCTTCCCCACTAAACACGACCCCCTCACTGGAGGTGAGTGACCCTGCCCCCTGCCCCCTGCCCCATCTAAGTTCATCTGAGAGCAGCTCACCTCCCAGGGTCTGGCTGGTCTGAGTTTCCCTGGGGGAAAGGGGTTTTTTTATTTTTTGGCATCTGACAAAGTCGATTCACACATCCAGGTACAATCTCATCAACCCCTCGAAGCTGCCTCTAAACAAGGAATTATCACTCTCACTCTGTTGCTGGTATTCAGTCACCCAGTCAAGCCCAGCTCTTTGCGACCCCATGGACTGCAGCACACCAGGCTTCCCTGTCCATCACCATCTCCCCAAGCTTGCTCAAACTCATGTCCATTGAGTCAGTGATGTCATCCAACCATCTCGTCCTCTGTCACCCCCTTCTCTGGAGGAAGCTGGGGCTCGGAGAGCTTAGAGAGCTCACGTGAGTGTGACTTGCACAAAACGACGGCCCTAGGGGGTAGGGCAGCACCCTCTCCAGCTACCTTGCCATCTGATCCTGTTTCTGTAGTGGACAGGGGAGTTCAGCGGGCTCTGAACCAGGCTAGACCAGAGCCTGGGGCTGGCTGGTGGGAAAGGGCCCTCCTACCTGGTACAGTCCGTGGTCCAACAGGACAATCTCCGCCTTTCCCGTGTCCGGCCGCTTCCGCACCAGCACATTGCCTGGGTGGGGGTCACAGTGCACGAAGCCGTTGACGAAGATCATCTCGCTGTACATCCTGCCCAGGTGACGCGAGATCTGCAAGAGAAGGGAGGCGGGTAGGAGCGGCAGCGTGTTACCACCTGCCTCAGAGACTTCTACGCTGGCCACTTGGGCTGGCCACCTTCAAGAGGAAGGCCTGAGGGATCACGGTGGAAGCAATGGCTTGAGACCCTGTAGTTCTTGAGTTGACGAGAGAAGCTGATCGCTAATCAGGCTTTTCCTAACTTTAGCTCCACGTTTGATTCAGCTGGAACTCAGAAATGTTGGGGGTGGTCCCCAGGCATCCGTAGTTTTTTAAGTGTCCAAAAATGATTTTATCAGACGGCAAGACAGGAGAACCGCTGCTTCTGGGTTTCCTAAAGGCTGTAACACCCACCTGGCCACACTTCCCAGTTCTGTGTTTTTTCCTTCTTCTCTCTTATCAGTCCCCCTTCACTTTGTCCCCCCAAAGCTGAATGCAGGTTGGAAAGCTGGGTTGGGGGTGGGGATCATTCTCCCTGCCCCTCCTCCAAGGCCAGGAGGTGGTAGGCCCCAGGACAAGTGGTCCCAGCATCTCCAGGTCAGGTCCAGGGGCACCTGGAGCCACATGCCCGCCCCACCCCCTCCCCTCAGGCCCCTGTCCCTACTCCCCTCCCCACCAGCGCCCAATGCTAATCTGATTTACGATGTCTGCACAGAAGAAATGACACTGCAGAGGCCATTTAAATCATCCTGTCACTGCCGCTCTCCCTGCCCGGGCAGCCTCCTTATCTCTACTCCCTTTTTATTAAAGCTAAAAGCCTTTTCCCAGCTAGGGAACAGCTGCTGAAGAGAGGCAGACCCGGCCCCACAGATGGTCTGTTGATGGGTTTCCACGGGACAAAGGGATGCTCATCCCAGGAAGCTGATGCCCCGAGGGCACACGCTGCCCTCAGTATCCCTCAGCCTCGGCTGGACCCCACGGGCACTAACAAGCATATCCCAGCCAGAGGGGAGGAGGGGCCCATGGGGTGAGGAACATAGAATGAGGGTCTCAAGATAAAGACACAAGTCCTTTCCTTGGCCTGCCTGTGTGTGTTCAGTCGTTTAGTCGTGTCTGATTCTGCAACCCCTGGACTGTTTAGCCCGCCAGGCGCCTCTGTTCATGGGACTTCCTGGCAAGGATACTGGAGTGGGTCACCATTTCCTCCTCCAGGGGATCTTCCCAAGCCAGGGATCGAACCCACACCTCCTGCGTTCTCTGCATTTGTTTCTTGGCCTACAAAGTCCGCTTTGACCAGGCCCAGCCTCCCTCCCTGGTCTCAGTCTTGTACCACTGACATTCCAGCCATATTTGATCTCTTTCTCTTCTCTAATAACCCCTATGCCTTCCTACCTCTGGTCCTTTGCACATGATGTTTGTTCCAGGAGCATCATTCCATTTGCCCTTCACCTGGTTCACTCCTCTCTTCCTTCCCATCCCAGCTGAGCATCATTTCCCGGGGGACACCTTCCCGGACCTCCTAGATTAAACGAGGTTCTCCCACCATACACTCTCATAGGATGCTGCAGACTGTTCCTGTTCCTTTTTTTTTTTTAACGGTGCTGTTTTTTGCTTTGTTTTCAGTTTTATCTATTTATTGTTGGCGGTACTGGGTCTTTGTGGCTGTGTGGGCTTTTCTCGAGCTGCAGCAAGCAAGGGCTACTCTCTAGGGTAGCCCTCACCTGTGGTGGGCAGGCCTCTCATTGTCATGGGTTCTCTTTCTCGAGGGCACAGGCTCTAGGGCAGGCAGGCTTCAGCAGTTGGGGCACACAGTCTCAGGAGTTGTGACCCCCAGGTTTTAGAGCAGACGCTCAACAGCTGTGATGCATGGGCTTACCTGCTCTGTAGCATGTGGGTCTTCCTGGACCAGGGATCAAACCTGTGTCTCCTGCAGTGGCAGGCAGATTCCTTACCAGTAAGCCACGAGGGAAGGCCTGTAGTTGTTTTTTTTTTTTAATCACTAGCACACTCTTTGTATTCTTATTTGATTAACAACTATCTAGCCCTCCTATGATGACTAAAACTGATTATTTTGTTGCATAGTTTCATTAAGGTCTAAGTTCCATATCAAAGACTGACTCTGTTATCCATCCCCTTGCCTGTAAACAGGCCAAACATGTGAATACAGGACTCTGCCTTCAACATGAGTGAGACCCTGGTATCTCCACGTTTTTCTGAGATGCCAAGGTTCTCGCCTCTGATGCTTATCCTAACCCCATTAGTCTCCTCTGAATCCCAACCATGATAACTGGCCTCAAATTCAATCATCAAGAATAATTCTACTTTAGTAACCATAGTTGTCATCCTTATTAAAGGGCCCTAAAACTAAGTACAACTATAATCCCCAATTTGCAGATTAGGAACTGAGATTCATCAAAGGTTTAACTTGCCCAGAGTTACCTGGCTGGAAAGAGACAAAGCCAAGATTCAAACCAGGTGAGACCCAGGCTTCTAGGAACCATTATTCTATACCAGCTCACACGACTTCCGCACTTCTCAACTGAACTTTGTGACCTTAAACAAGTTAGTTAAACTGTCAGCTTCAGTAGCATGGAAATAATAACAGTGCCACTCTCACAGATGACAGTCGGGTACATGACAGCATCGTAGTCCTTGGAACCTCGTGTGATGTCTCCTAGTGCCCCTGACTCCTTATGACACTCCCGGAGGGGCCGAAGACTAGGTTTCAATGTACCTGTTTTTTTGGGTTTTTTAAGAAGTTAGTTTATTTATTTCTAGCTGCATCAGTTCTGAGCTGTGGCACGCGGGTTCCAGGGCGTGTAGGCTCGGTTGCTCGGCAGCACGTGGAATCTCAGTTCCCCAACCAGGGACTGAACCTGTGCCCCCTGCATTGGAAGGCAGACTCTCATCCCCGGACCACCAGGGAAGTCCCTCCTCGCGCCTTTTAAAGGAATGATGGAACGAGGGTTAAAGAGGCTAACTGAGGTCCTGAGGCTCCGACTGTGTCACCAGGGCCCTGCTACCACGCACTCCAGCTCCTGCCACTTCTCCTGGGGGGAAAGGAACCCAGTACTCGGTGTCTGCTGGCATCAGGAACCGCCTTTGCCCCGTGTCAAGTCTCAGACTCCCGCTGAGATGGGGGGTGTTTCCTGGGAGAGGGGGCCCAGCCAGAGCCGGTCCCTGGATGAGCCAGCAGGTCCCCACCTCGGCATTCCCAAGAACCCCTTTTAGGGAGGCTCTTGGGAGCTCTATGGAGCCGAGCCCTGAAGGGCCATATCTGCCAAACCAATTGCATTTATTAAGTCATAATTCATTTTTATTTGTCAAGGACGCATATGAGGTCCAATCAGGGCTCCTGATCAGCCCAAGATAAGCAGGGCAGCCAGATGGAGCTGACGGAATTTCAGCCCAAAGCAGAGAAATGACATTTCATTTAGTCTGAGCCGACCTGTCATGGGGAGATGTATGATCTCCTCGAAGCTTTCTGAAATATTGCTGATCGCTGTAGGTCCCCTATTACGACATTGAGAGGTGGCCCCGAGGGGTCTGGGGATTCAGGCTAGGGGAGCCTTGGCCCACGAGAACTGAGATGCTGCTACGGAAGGAGGAGGAGGAAGAGGCTGCCAACCGTGGCTCATATGCGAAGCGTCAGTCACTCAGTCGTGTTCGACTCTTTGTGATCCTGTGGAATGGAGCCCGCCAGGCTCCTTTGCCCATGGGATTCTCCAGGCAAGAATTCTGGAGTGGGTTGCCATGCCCTCCTCCAGGGGATCTTCCCGACCCGGGAATTGAACCGGGGTCTCCTGCACTGCAGGCAGGCTCTTTATCATCTGAGCCGCCAGGGAAGCCCTTCCCCATCCGGCTGCCCCTACCTGGTATCTTTCCTTTCGGGGGCTGTTTCTGATGCTCATTTTAACCAGATTTCACCCGGACAGGCAGACGGGGAAGGCAGAGACAGGAGTGGGGTCCAGGAGTGGTCTGGCTCCACCCTGGGGCCATCCCAACACTGCCACTGTGGGCACAGGCAACCTGAGGGACAAGTCACCTCCCCTCTCAGTCGGCCCAGGCTCCCTTAGCTGTTAAGGGGGACTGGCCCCATCGATTCTATTTCCTCACAGAGAAACCTTGAGATTCAAGGTCAAAATGCGACTGCATAAAAGGGAAAGCGCTTGACACACTACACTATATGGCACAGATATGCTTGCTTTCTATAATGAAATGTCTTATTATTTTAAACTTAGAGGAAAATATACCCATTATCACCATCAAAGAGTAATTTCCAAAAAGTTAAAAACTAGACTCTGGTACAAATGTAGACTGAACACGTGTCAAAGGCTGTGAAACTCATCAATACAGGAGGCCGCAAGAAGGCAGAGCTGGTTCAAACTGAGGATTTTGAGGGACTGGGTATTTACGGGCATTTAAATAGGAATAAGAGGCTAAGATTCCAGGATTATATATAAAACTGGTTATTGGCTGACTGGGCAGTAAGGAAATCATAACCTTCGGGTTATCTTTGCTAGTGGGGAGAAGTTATTGGCATCCCTACTAGATAAGATCTAAAGTTGACATATGACTTCAGCCTAAGCCTTTAATTGTCAATAGCAAAGTCAAACAAAAGTACATTCCCTTAGATACTAAAAAATCCTCGGGTAGGTTGTTTAAGCAAACTCCCAAGACCGATTTTGAAAGGACAAAGTGCACACTCCCATCTCTAAATTTTGGGTAGCTTTTCCTTTCTCTGGCCACACTATGCAGCATGCAGGACCTTAGTTCCCTAACCGGGGACTGAACCCAGGCCTCCTACATTGGGAGCACACAGTCTCAACCACTGGACCACCAGAGAAGTGCCTCAGGAATTATTCTTCTCTCTCAGAGCTGCAGTAAACTGTAAACTGCCGGGAGAAAGGCGGCCAGTCCCCTCCCTCCTACTCACAGAAGTACGGAGAGTCGCAGAGGGAACCTAAGGCCATCACTGGGCACAAAACCCTCTCTCCACACCTTGCATGTACTTAGCTCAACCGCCTCCTCAAGAACAAACAATTCTAAATAAGGCTGCAGTGAACACGGGAGAGCAGCTATCCTTTCCATACTGCTTTCCTCTCCTTTGGATGTGTACCCAGAAGGGAAACTGCTGGATTATACGGTAGATCTATTTGCAGTGTTTTGAGGAACCTCCATATGGTTTTCCATAGTGGATGCACCAACTTACATCCCCACTAACAGTGCACAAGGGTGCCCTTTTCTGCACCTCCTCACCAACGCTGTTATCTCCTGTCCTCTTGATGACAGCCATTCTAGCAAGTGTGGGGTGATCTCTCATTGTGTGGTTTCTATTTGTATTTCCCTGACAATTAGTGGTGGTGAACACCATCTCGTGTTCCCCTCGGCCATCTGTACATCTCCTTGGGAGAAATGTGAGTTTTTCTCTAAGGCTGCCCCTTACTCTGTTAAGGGCAGTTATCTGCATAAAGACCAGAGTCCCACCTTTTCCCAATGGCAACAGTTGACACTCTGCGCCATCCACCATTTCAGGCAAATTATCTGGACTCACAGCCACCTCTGCAGTAGACAGGTGAGCGAAGCAAAATACAAAAAGAGGAGGCAACTTGGTCACCTGGCCAGCAGTCAGTGAAACCAGGATCCAACCCAGGCAGCCTGGCTCTGGGGAACACAGCTTCAATCACCCACCCCTTCTGCCTCTGCACTCATGGAAAAGCTCCTTACTGGAGGCAGAAACTGTGCCAGAAATCCTCTGCAGGTCCCCACAGCAACCAAGAAAGCATTCCGTTTGGAGAAAAGAGTCACAGTGGGAAATCCAAGGCTGTTTGTCTAACCAAAAATACGCTGTTAACTAAAGCCATAGTACAGCTCTTTTTAGAAGAAAAAAAAAAATCAGTGACAAGTTTTTAACTGTTCCATGTAAAAAGAATGTGCCACTCACATAAGTGATTTCAGTAATTACACAACCCCTTTATGTTTCTAACAGTAGGGAGGGGAAATAAAAAACACAGAAATCTATTTTTTACAAAAAGTCTGAGTAAAGAATTAAATTAGTAAATAATATTTAAATCAAAAGAATTATTTCTGGATTTTCCTCAAAACTTGAATTGGCTGAAAGTACTTTAATTATTCTATAATTGCATGGATTAATTTATTCCCAGCCCCCAAGGGAAAGTCTGTGTTCTTGGGAGTGTCATGGAAGCAAGGCCAAGATCTCCGAAAGAAACAGGAGCTCAGTGTTGCAGGATATTAATAATCACACAAGTAGCCCGATATTAAGCTTATATAGGTTATATATTAAGCTTATTATAGGTTAATAATTCAAGCACTCTTTGCCCTTCCCCTGGTGGCTGCCCAGGCTTCTAGAGGCAGAACTACAGCCTCCAGGGCCAGACTAGACAACTGCCCCGAGCATTTTACCCTCCGCCTCAATCCCACCCCTGGGATATATAAGCCTCAGTTCCTCACTGCTTCCCATTCACAGAGTGGTCAATCTTGGGCCAAAAAACACTGCGATGAAGTCCCTGAGAGTGAAGACAGTGGGAACTTATTCAGCCACACGTGGCTGGGAGACGTAGTGAGGAGGACAGAGGACCTGGGTTCATTGACAGGAACCTGGGGGAGTTTCTCTCATCTTGGATCCTCCAGGAGCTCGGTGAGAGCTTCCCTAGACTCGGCTTGAACCGGGACAGCACTTGAAAGCCAGGGCGTGGCGTATCCACAGGCCAATAAGGGCTCCCGGCTAGTGAGACTCACAGGGTCCTGGCTTTCCAGTGGGACAGGGAGTGGATCCAGGGGCCACGGCTCCAGGAAGACACAGATATCAACCTCTGACATCCCCGCCATGAGCTGCAGTTCACTCCGAAGAAATATGTGTCCACATCCACCCACCCTACCTAGGTCACTATAAAAAAAATGAGCAAAGAGTTTTTCCCTAAATTTCCCCCTTCTTTTGGCATATATTTTATTTCCAGAATTACAACAAAATAGGCTGTGCTGAGCATGGACTGTGGGCCCTGTCCCGCCTGCTTCACATTTCAATCATCAAACAATCCAACACTTGTTTTTTTTTGGTTGCACCACAGGGCCTATGGGACCTTAGTTCCCTGACCAGGGATCAAACCTGTGCCCCCTGTGATGGAAACATGGAATCTTAACCACTGGACGCACGAGTCTTAACCACTGGACCAGGGAAGTCCCTGATACTCTCCTGTAGCCACTTCACAGCAGGCATCTGAGGCTTCCCAAGGGTGATTCGCACCGCCAAGGCAACATAGTTCTTAAGCAGCAGAGCCAGGACGAGAATCCAGAAAGGCCAACTCCAAAGTGATGCTGTCCCCACTCGTGACACCCCTGCTGTTGGGGAAATGAGTCTCCAGGAGCCCACTTGGGCATCTAGACCCCTCCAACATCCCCAAGCTTCTAACAACTTGGGGTGAGAGGTCACAGAGGGTGGACGATGGGAGGAGATGTTTTCACTCTAGTGATTTCAGTTATTCTTGTTGTTTGGTCACTCAGTCATGCCCGAGTCTTCTGCGACCCCAAGGACTGTAGCCCATCAGGCTCCTCTGTCCATGGAAATTCCTAGGCGTGAATCCTGGAGTGGGTTGCCATTTCCTTCTCCAGGGGGCCTTCCTGACCCAGGGATCAAACTCACGTCTCCTGAACTGGCAGGGGGATTCTTTGCCAGTGAGCCGCCAGGGAAGCCGAGTGGTTTCAGTAACTGGAGTCTTTGTGCCTCTCCGGCTTCTCCTCCCTGGTCTTCTGAGTGCCTTCTACCACAGAGTCAGAGAGGCCCACCAAACGGGAAACGACGCTGAGCACTAAGGCAGAGTCCTGAACAACGCAAGCTGGAATCGGGGGACAGGAGCAAACCCTTGGGCAGTATGGCTTTTAGAAACAGGAAAGAGCGTCACCAGTGCTCAGCCAATGCCCACTGATGACCCCCGAGTCTACACACTCACGGACAGCAGAGAGAGGTGGGTGGACAGAAGCAAAGTGAGATTCTCAGAGATTCTATGGAGGAAGACGTGCCTCTGTGACTAATAACATCATATATTATAAATGACTTTTTTTTTAACAGAACCTCACAGCCTGCAAGAGCTGCACAACCACCCCATGAAGGAAGTACTGTTCTGCCTACAACTGTACAGATGAGGAAACCCAGGGGCACGTGGCCAATAAATGACAGAGCCATGCACACCCCCAGGGCGGGCCCGACTTTGAACCCTCTGCCCCACTGGCCACACGCCCAGCCTCAATGACAGCTGGCCAGCCCACTTCTCCCACGCTCTGTCCACACCTCTCCTATGGCACTGATACGCCAGGCCTGCGCATAGTAGGTGCCCAAGAAACATCTGCTGGAAAACACGTCTGAGATCTTTCCACTGCTTCTCCAGTGACACGGGATGGAAAGACTACCCAGAAAGAAGAAACGTGGCAAGGGCAGTCAGCTACACATGCAGATGGAACCCAGGCACTGTCTTCCTTCACCAGCCCAACGAACATAACTGTGAAAAAGACAGAAAAGGCCGAGACACCCCACAACAGAGAGCAGAAGTGCCAACAGAGGCAGGCAAAGAGATCAGCAAGGCTATGTTTGCAGGGGGGAGGGGACAGCCACTGAGAAACGCCTCAGCAGGGGACAGTGGGGAACTTGATGATGGCTGTCTCGGAGACCAGAGAGGCCAGCCCAGTGGGCCCCGGCACCTTTGAGACACAGGCTGGGGGTGCAAAGTAAGAGCTAAACCTCCAGACCCCCTTCCAATCTCAAAGGAAGGTAAGATTTGCTCTCTGGAGCGGTAAAAAGACAGACTCTGCCACACACACCACAGACCAGAGGGCCACCCCGAGGACGGAGGACCCGGCCCAATTCCACATAATGACCAGTGTGGAGCACCCAGCCCTCTTCCCCTAGTAGGCTGCTGGGCCTCTGGAGTGGACAGGCTGGTGTCTCTTGCAAGCCCCTCATCTCTGTATCCAGCTCATCCTTCTTGGACTGTGCATGTCGGCCTCCAGTCTTCACTTCACCCAATCCCAGCTCCTGACTTTGTCACCTTTCTCTCAGCTAATTTCCCACAAATTCAATAGGGCCTCGGCCCAGGTAGGGTCTTAAAAACAGACTCACTGAAATCCAATTAACCTTCGATAAAGGCCCTGCAATCAATAGTCATCCTGTGGCTTGAGGAGGCTGCATCCAGCCCGGGCAAGCGCGCTCCTGCATGACCTTTATTCTTAATGAAATCAATGACAGTCACTGTCACCAGCTCTTAAAGTGACTGGCAAATATGATCACCAGGTCAGGCCCTCAGTAATATGCCGCTTCTGGGCTCAGAGCAGAGACAAAGAGGGCCCCTGCAGGCTGCGGGTACCGGAGCCCACATGCCGGCCAGAGAGCACACCCGGGCAGGGCCGCCACGTGCCTGGAAGCACACAACAGCAGTGGTGCGGCCTGAGGGCCCACCTGGGGCAGCCAGGGACCCCCCTGGCCCTGTGGCAGGGGGCTCCTGAACTCCAGTGAGTGTCTGAACCACCTGGAGAGTCTGTTAAAATGCTGATTTCTCGCAAGCCCGCCCCCCAGACTCTGATAGGTCAGTTTGGGATGGGGCCCAGGAAACTGCATTCAGGTCTTATCTCCCAGCAAGCCAAGAGTGGCTCTTCTGTAAACACCTGAGCAGAACAGACCCTTAAGAGTCCAGCTAACCCAACACCTCCAGTAAGCATACTGAGGCCCAGAGAAGGAAGTAATTTGTCCAAGGTGACACAGCGGGCCACCAGCAGAGACGGAGCCTGAACCCAGGTCTCTGGCCTGCTAACATGGTGTTTTCTTCACTGAGTCTATCAGGAACTGGCCACTTAGACTGGTCTTCAGGTCCTCACATATGAGGCCCAACTGGGCTGGGGTGCGGCGGGGTGAGGGGGGGCCTCTTCAAGTAGAGTGGGGACGATTAACAAGTGCTGGAGGGGTCTGCAGCTCTCCCCACCTCCCTTCAAGAGCAGTTACCCCCAGAGCCACTTCCTGCTGAGCCAACAGCTTGGAGCAGCCAAGATGCCACTAACCACCCTTCCCTGCAGGATCGCGGCGAGCTCTGCCTCTGGTCACTCCCCCCTGTCCCCTGCACCTCCCTCCCCAAGCGACACTCAGCAAGGCAGTCCTCAGCAGGGACAGTCACGCCAGGGACAGGCCCACTCAGGTCCACAGTCCTAGGGAGGCTTCGGAACCTCAGATGTTTGTTAGAAAATTCCAGTCACATGGAGTCTTTCATGCTACTCACAAATACACACACACACACACACACACACACACTCCACTAGTCTTCCATGAGGCCTGCGGCTTTGATGTTGATTGGGAATTAGGAAATTAACCTAATAACAGGTTAATTTCTGCACAGCAAGGCCTGTTCCTATTCTACTCCCAGCATCACCGATGGTCAGCAGGGCACATGGTCCACTGCCCAAACCCCAGCCTAAGGTTCCAGTGCAAGGATTGAATGACATCATCTCGGAACACGACCAAAGAGCCTCCCAGGTCATGTAAACCATAGAAGCCAGGGGCAGGGGCTTAAGGGGAGAAGGAATTAAGACAGTATGGTATTATCAGAAGGACAGACCTACAGACCAAGAGAAGAGAACAGAGCCTCCAGAAAAGACCCACAGCGACTTGATGACAAAGATGCCAGGTCTAAACTGCTACGCGGTATGATGCCATGAGCATGAAGTTCAGGAGGTCAGTGAGGGAGAAGGTGCTGCCCGGTGACAGAAGTCAGAACAGCGGTGGCTCTGGGGGCAGTAAGAAGTGTGTGGACTCTGAGGGGGAGTGAGGGGCCTAGCAGGGGGCTAGAAATGGCTTATGTCTTTGCGCAGCTGGTGAGTACATGAAATGTCCATATGACAATACATGGAGGTGTTCCACAAAGATCTGAGACCTCATGTAAATTACCTTCCCTCCCTGAGTCTCTGATTCTTCATCCCTAGAATGGAGACAAGACCTCCTTCCCTCCTAAGATTGTGACACAGAATGAGCCTGGCACCCAGAGTCAGGCAGTGGGTAAACATCAATGGTCAAAGGAGGTAAAAGAGAGAAAGGGCAAGCCACAGGGATGATGTAACAATGAAAACAGCAACAACCATCAACTAGATACCAATCTGGAGCTTTAGCCATGCACTAGGAGGGTGAACCTAGTGCTCTAAAAAATGGAACAATGCTTGTATGAACTTGATGTGAGCTAGAGAGAGGAGGGCTGCATTCGGATGGTGCCCTGGGAGCAGGCAAAGTTTCCATCAATGTTCCAACTCCTTCTTCGAGGAGTTATTGGTGTGGCTGGCAGCCAGCTGGACTCAATTTCCCCTGCAGCCCCCCAGCAGAGATGCCTGGGAGGGGGATGGAGAAGGTGGAGGAGAAAGGACTCAGAACTAACGCTAACCTGGATTCGGCTCTTGACTGTCCCTGCTAGCTCTGTGATGTTGGGCAAGCTATTTAACCTCTCTGAGCTTCAGCTTCTCATCTAGAAATGGGATTAATGAGATATCCTTAACGGGGCATCTGTAAGGAGTATATGGCATCTTTAAGGATTATATGTTGTCACATGTTTGGTACATATTAGTTGCTAATAAAAAGCAGAGACATTACATTTCAACAAAGGTCCGTCTAGTCAAGGTTATGGTTTTCCCAGCAGTCATGTATGGATGTGAGAGTTGGACTACAAAGAAAGCTGAGCACAGAATAATTGATGCTTTTGAACTGTGGTGTTGGAGAAGACTCTTGAGAGTCCCTTGGACTGCAAGGAGATCCAACCAGTCCATCCTAAAGGAAATCAGTCCTGGGTGTTCATTGGAAGGACTGATGTTGAAGCTGAAACTCCAATACTTTGGCCACCTGATACGAAGAGCTGACTCATTTGAAAAGACCCTGATGCTGGGAAAGATTGAGGTCAGGAGGAGAAGGGGACGGCAGAGGATGAGATGCTTGGATGGGATCACTGACTCAATGGACATGAGTTTGGGTAAACTCCAGGAGTTGGTGATGGACAGGGAGGCCTGGCGTGCTGCAGTCCATGAGGTCGCAAAGAGTCAGACACGACTGAGCGACTAAATTGAACTGAACTGAGCTGCTAATAATAATTATTGCTATTGCTTTTCCCAGACCACTCTGATATCAGCCTGTCAGACTTTGCACGTTCACAGAAAATAAAAACACTCTACTCCAGCCTTGCCTCATAGAGGTCAACCCAGGGCATGAGGCTGGCTTAATTTGTCTGCTAATTCATAGGATGTCCACCATAGTCTGCTCTGCACAGAATGCCAGCCTTATCTGCAAAGCTGATTCAAGAGGGTTGGAAGTAGAAGCTGTCAAGCCCAGGCCCCCAGAGGACATCACCCAGCCCCAACTCCCACCAGCCACCTCCAGCCTTCTCCCAGGTAGCCTCACTCAGCCAGGAGCAAGCAATTACATCAGAGTACATCTCGGTGTGCACTTTGAAAATCAAAGCTGCCTCTGATTAAACACCATCACAGCTCTGGGCTCACTGGACCCCAAAAGATGAACAGATTCAGGCGTCTAGCTGGCACGAGAAGCCCACTGATGCTGGCAGTAAGTGAATTCCAGTAACCTGAAGCCCTTTGGGTCTGCCCTACTCAGCAGGCAGAGACCCTTTAAGACTGTTCAGGATAAGTAAGAGGTGACCTCCCCTCTCCTCCTTCCTGGAGCCAAAGACTCTGTACTCAAGGGTCCTGGTGGACAAGGGACAAACAACCCCTGGCTAGAGGCAGGGAGGTACCCCCATTCCAAACAACGGTGCGAGAGAAAGGCGAGCAGGTCTCACCGCACCCTCCTCTGCGGGAGCGCTGCCCAGACACCCTCCAGCAAACAGTGAGGGCAGCAGGCGTCAGAAGCCCCGAGCACTGCTCCTGCGGACTGACCCCAGGAGAGCCCTTTGCCTCTAGGCTTCTGCCTATCTCTAAAGCAGAGGTCTGAACTGGAACAGGAGTGTTCTCAAGGAAAGCCCAACAGGCAGTTCGCAACAGCCAAGCTGCCCCCCGGTTAAGCAGGGCAGGCAGTAGGGAGGCCCCTCCAGCCTCCTCGCCAGCCCAAGAGGCCCCCCAAAGCATGCCAGGAGCCCTGTTTCCTGAGTCAGGCCAACGGTTGTCCCCCGGAGGCCAAGGCCAGCTGTGGCTCACCTTTCCCAGCCATGCGCTTGGCAGCCTCTCCTTTTATGAACTTCTCTGGTGGCTCAGAGGGTAAAGCATCTGCCTGCAATGCAAGAGACCTGGGTTCAATCCCTTGGTTGGGAAGATCCCCTGGAGAAGGAAATGGCAACCCACTCCGGTACTCTTGCCTGGAGAATCCCATGGATGGAGGAGCCTGATGGGCTACAGTCCATGGGGTCGCAAAAAATAGGACACGACTGAGCGAAGATTTCACTTTCACTTTTTATGAACCAAGAGGAGTCCTGGAGTCAGAGAGACATGGGTTTCAACCCTAACTCTATGAACTGTGTGACCTCAGGCAACATACCTTCCTTCTCTGAGTCTCTGATGCCTCATCTGCAAGATGGAGGCATGCAGGCCTCCCTTCCGAGATGTTTATGGCACAGGGCGTCAGGCATTCACCAAACAGGAACAGTAAGAGGAGACACGGGATAAGGGAGAAAAGGACAAGCCCAAAGGGTGAGGACAATGATCTCGCTACCATGCTGGAGGGCTCAGCACACACCAGGCACTGTTCTAAGCATGGCAGTGCACAAACCTGTGGTCATCACATCTGTATTACAGACAGAGCTCTCATCGTCCCCGCTGACGGAGGCCACACCGGCACCGAGGCCTGGGCTCCCAAGCTGCACTCTTTCCGGCCACGCCCCTTGCCTCGTCTGCGGAGCCGAGGAGTGGCTTCGTCTGGGCCGTCCCCCCACGGACACCCTAGGCTCATCTTTGTGTGTTGCCTGGGAGAGAGCAGGGAATAGCATTCACTTCTACTACGTCTGGTTCTCCCGTGCATTCCTTCCCGTCACCAGCCACGTGGGGCATGTCACGGCACCCCTCACCCTTCAGGGACTCCCCAGTCCCCGCACCATCTGCCTGCAGCCTTGCAGAACCTCACCACTCCTCTCCCCTTCCTTGCAATACCCCTCTGCTCCCACAACTCTGCCAGAACCCTGAGACGGATGCACGCACGCGTACACACACACACACACACACACACACACACACCTGGCAAATCCCCACTCAGATGGCTGGGGAAGCCAACTCAGGGCAGAGGTGAGCACTTTTTCCATGCGGCCCTGGGGATGGGCTCACACCCCTCACTGCCTGAAGGATGGCGCTAAGGATGTAGTTGTGTGACTCCAGCGCTGGGCTGGGAACTCCTCAACAAAGGGAACTGTGTCTGCTTCCCCTCTGAGCCCACCCACCTCGCACAGAGTAGGGGCTATACAATGATGAATTCTGGTGAAAGGGTTCCACCCTCCACCCCTATCTGTGGGACCCCGTGGTGGCCAAGAAGAAGGAAATGGGGTCCAGGCCCCCAGCCCACCAGCCAGGGCTCCCTGAAGGCCGGGGGGTGGCAGGCGGGAGACAGAAGCCCTTCTGTGTTCAGCAACAGGCTACTCGTCGGCTCTGGCTGTGTCCTTTCTGCCTGATACCTGGAGACTCGCGGAGGGCAGGGAGAGACAGGAGGTGTGTCCAGGCCCCGCAGGACAGAAGATTAAGTCCTGAGAGTCTGCACCACTGTTCTCGGGCTTCTGCAAGCTGTGGGGCTTGGACGACACAAGACAGATGGTGATAATCCCCTGTTCAGGCAAGGGCTGCAGGAGGGGCCCAGCGTGTGCCCACACCCCGCTGCCCACTGCCCGCTGCCAAGCCCGGCTCAGGAGATGGGCGGAGGGCTGCCCTAGAGCACCTGGAAGGCTGCTTCATGCTCCAGAGATTTAATAACCCTTCAGAAAAGACAGGCCCCACTTCCAGGCCGTGAGACCTCTCCGGGACACACCTGCCCTCGCCAGAGAGCCCCGCCTGCAGCAGAGCGCGCTGGACTCACCTCGTTGACGTCGATCTTGTTCCGCTCCATGTAGTGTCTGTCGTTGACCTGCCCGCCGTCCACAAACTCCATCAGAAGCACCCGCTTGGTGGACAGCTCCCAGTAGATGCGGGGGACCTGGAGTGGGATAGGGCAGGTCAGGAGGGGCCAGGAGGCTGGGGGTTCTGGGCAAGGGCTACAGATAGGCACGTGGGCCGGACATCAGCTCACATGCCTTCCAGGAAGAGAAGGGAAGGCCCAGAGGGACCCCGGCAGAGACGGGCAGGGAAGGCAGGAGGCAGGCCGAGAAAGAAGGGCAGGCTACTCTGCCTCCCCCAGCAGGGCCCCAGGCCTCCTCCAGGGACCCTCCTGCTTGGGGACGAGAGAATAAGTCCCCCACATTCTTCAGCGTCTTCAAGACACAATGAAGAGCACATATGAAAAGTGGGGCTTAGGGAGAAATACATGGAACCTCTCAGATCCAAGCCACAGTTGGGGTTAAAAGCTATTTCTCTCTCGCCAGGCTTATTTCAGGCTCCTCATGTGAATATAAACACTCTGCCTCAGTTTCAACACCTGTACAATTTCAATACCTGTACAATGGGTGTAATTATTATATATGTGAATGACTGAATGAATAAATTTTAGCTGGGTGATAAATTTTCAGTTAGGAAGTCCTGAGTTTTCTCATTACCATTCCCTGCAAGCCTTCTGTGGTAGACAGTGTGCTGAAGCCTAACCCAACACCTATTCCCAATCCTCCTCTTCCCCAGGAAAAATGAAATACTTTCCCTGCCTGCTTTGCAGTAGTTATGGCCATGTGACACAGTTCTGGCTTGTGAGTCACAAGTGGAGGTCTGCTAGAGGATGTGGGAAGGCTTTCACTTTCTTAATAAAAAGGGATGTTTATAAATATTGTAACTCTTCTTACCCTTCTCTTCCTACCTTGAGAGTGAAGTGATACCTGGAGCTGCAGCAGCTGTTTTATAACCATGAGGAAAATTCGAAGAAAATCACAGAGATGACAGTTCTGACACTGTCAGACTGCTGAGACAAAACCAACAGGCAACTGCTACAAGTCTTCCTGATATGTGAGGAAAATACATTCTTTTTGTTTAAAACACTCTAGATGGAGCTGTCAGTTATGTACAAACAGATGCATTCCTAACTGATACACTCTCTAATCCCCTCTGATTCTAAGGACACCCAATAACCAAAAAGATACTAGACTTCCCTAGAAGTAGCCAAGACATTGGGCTGCACCAAGGACTGCCGAGTTGCCATGTGAGCGAGTGACACCTATGAGGCCCACCAATGTCAGGAGGGAGGAAGGACCTGGCTTTCAGAACGCCACAATTTCCCCAACAACTTAATGGACTTATTCCACTTATAAACAAAGAAGCAAGGGCAGCTAATTCAAGTGATTAGGGAGAATCATACCAACTCTCAAAGCTCACGTAGCAGTAAGATAGTAGTCTTGAGCCAAGAAACTTTTTTTGTTCCCCACTCTACTAACAACTGTTGTGTTTGAATCTAGCCACTTAAATCCTCAATGCCTCAGTTTTTCTCATTAAAAAGGAGACTGGGGGATTTCCCCTGGTGGGCCAGTGGTTAAAAGTCTGGGCTCCCAATGCAGGGGGCACAGGTTTGATTCTTGGTCAGGGAACTGAGATTCTGCATGCCATGGGTGTGGCCAAAATAAATTAAAAAAAAAAAAAAAAAGGAAGGAGACTCTACCTGCTCCATCTCAATAAGGAGTTCTGGGGGTGAAGGGGGCCGTACATACAGGAGAACCCTCTGGAACAAAGGTTCCTACTGAAACAAAGGCATCTTTTGTTTACTCCTTTCCTGCAGTTTTTGCCATTTGAAAATCTAGACCAATAGAGAAATCTATGACCCTATGTCACTTTGAACTTAAAATTCAGTCTCGCTTGGCATTTTTTAAAAAGTCTCTTTAAAAATACGAGTGCAAATTTGCTGCTGCTGTTTGAAAGAAAGTGAAAGCAGCTCAGTCATGTCCAATTCTTTGAAATCCCATGGACTGTAGCCTGCTAGGCTCCTCTGTCCATGGAATTCTCCAGGCAAGAATACTTAAGTGGGTATCCATTCCCTTCTCCAGGGGATCTTCCCAACCCAGGGATCAAACCCAGGTCTCCCACATTGTGGGTGGATTCTTTACTAGCTGAGCCACCAGGGGAGCTGCTGTTTGAGGCTTCCAAGTAAAAGGGACATACTTGGGGGTTAAATCTTTTCCCTGGTTTGTCTGGGGCTGAAGCTTGACAGTGGAGTGCCTAGGGCTCCAGAGACTTAAGGTCAGACACCCCTGTATGCCTGCCTGGAGCAATGTGGAAAACAGCCATGCAACAGCCAGAGATGCAAAGAGAAAACCCCAAGGCTGGAGACTGCCTGGGCTTGTTGGTCAGGGTCCTGAGTATGCTGGGTCTCCCTTCAAATGCAACCAACCCAGCCTCACAACGGAATGTGGGTCTGCGGAGGCACTGCTTAGCTCTGAAACAGCAGAGACAGCACCCACCCCCGCTGCCAGAAAAAAAGCAAGGCAGAGGGGTTTGTCATGGGAGCTCAGGGAGGGCTGCGGTTGCCCCTCGATGGATATAACATGGAAATGACTGCAAAATGCAAAAGTGCTTCCTGCTCAGTTAGGAGACACTTGGCCTGACAGGAGATACAAGATCAAGAGACTTGCCCCTAAATCAGCACGTGAGCAGGAGGGTTAAGGGGTGCCAGGTGAAATTCACTTCACCCTAACACTCATGTTTCACCACCATTCCTTTCTCAGCTTTTTCCATCAAAGAAGGGAAAAAGAAGGAGAAAAATTTTGAAAGAGGCAGTAAGAACCACCCTGTCCCCTGCCCAAACAAAAATCAACCTGGGAGGCTTACAGTCAAGGTGCCTGCTGACTCCAGAGGCAGGGTCACGCCCGGCCCTCAGGACCTCTGGGTCTGGGGGTCTACCTCCTCACGGCAGGGCAGAGGGCCCACTTCCATAGGCTCCATCTGCCCCCTATACCAGGGCCAATCCTGATCCCAAGAAGAACAGAGAGTAGGGCAAGCTCCAGCCCAAGACTTTGGCCTCAGCCTCATTAACAGGCCCTGACCTGCGCTTCCTCTTTGTTCCCACACCTGGGAAGCAAGTCCTGGCATGTCTGGGCCAGCACCCATCATCTGGGGCCACGGACCTCCCCAGACCTGAGGCCAGTGGAGCAGGGCACAGACAGTGCAGTCAGACAGTGAGGCTGGAGCCCCAGCTCTGCCTCTGCCAAGCTGTGTGACTTGGGTAAGTTGCATAATCTCTCTGAGTGCCGGTTCCCTCGCCTGTAAAAGGCTGATGACAATTACAATGAAAGCAACGTTCCCTGCTTCCTACAGGCACGGATGAGGTCCTGGGGGCTCAACACAGCAGCCGCCATACGATAGCCACAGAGAATTTCACAGGTGGTTCTGACACAGATCCAGGGCCGAGAGTTGATGCTACAGACAGTGCAGCATGACTCAGATTGCTGTGATTGTTTTGTGAAAGTCGCTCAGCCGTGTCCAACTCTTTGCAACCCCCATGGACTATACAGTCCACGGAATTCTCCAGGCCAGAATACTGGAGTGGGTAGCCTTTCCCTTCTCCAGGGGAATCTTCCCAACCCAGGGATTGAACTCAGGTCTCCTGCCTGGCAGGTGGATTCTTTACCAGCTGAGCCACAAACTCGGATCTCCCAAGTATTCCAGAGGAACCAGAGCACAGTGGTTTACCAGGAGAGCTTGGGGCCAGGCTGCCTCTGCCCCTTACCAGGAAGCTGTGTGACTTTGGACGAGTGGCTCCATCTCTCTGGGCCTCATTTTTCCCAAGGCTGACATGGAGTTAATAATGGCATTTCCCTTGTGGGGTTGTGTAAGGATTAAAGAGGAAATATACAGGGACTTCCCTGGTGGTCCAGTGGTTAAGACTCCACACTTCCAATGCAGGGGTCAGGGGTTTGATCCCTGGTTGGGGAACTAGGATCCCACATGCTGCATCCCACGGCCGAAAAAGAGGGAACCAAAGAGTAAATAGACATAAAGCACTTTAAAAAACATCTAACACAGCATAGACATGTAAAAAAAAAAAAAATTAACTGATACAGTACTAATAACTAGACATCAGTTCCTCTTAATCTTTGACATCCTTAGAAAGCTATTTCACCAGAAGCAAGCTCATCCTGGCAGGGTTTACCCCCAGTTTCGACAGAGTCCCAGGCCCCGTGTGTGATCAGTTGCTCAGTGGTGTTCAACTCTTTGCAACCCCCCATGCACTTGGCAATACCCACCAGGGTCATCTGTCCACGGCATTTCCCAGGCGAGAGTACTGGAGCGGATTGCCATTTCTCCTCCAGGAGCCAATCCTGATCCCAAGAAGAACAGAGAGTAGGGCAAGCTCCAGCCCAAGACTTTGGCCTCAGCCTCATTAACAGGCCCTGACCTGCGCTTCCTCTTTGTTCCCACACCTGGGAAGCAAGTCCTGGCATGTCTGGGCCAGCACCCATCATCTGGGGCCACGGACCTCCCCAGACCTGAGGCCAGTGGAGCAGGGCACAGACAGTGCAGTCAGACAGTGAGGCTGGAGCCCCAGCTCTGCCTCTGCCAAGCTGTGTGACTTGGGTAAGTTGCATAATCTCTCTGAGTGCCGGTTCCCTCGCCTGTAAAAGGCTGATGACAATTACAATGAAAGCAACGTTCCCTGCTTCCTACAGGCACGGATGAGGTCCTGGGGGCTCAACACAGCAGCCGCCATACGATAGCCACAGAGAATTTCACAGGTGGTTCTGACACAGATCCAGGGCCGAGAGTTGATGCTACAGACAGTGCAGCATGACTCAGATTGCTGTGATTGTTTTGTGAAAGTCGCTCAGCCGTGTCCAACTCTTTGCAACCCCCATGGACTATACAGTCCACGGAATTCTCCAGGCCAGAATACTGGAGTGGGTAGCCTTTCCCTTCTCCAGGGGAATCTTCCCAACCCAGGGATTGAACTCAGGTCTCCTGCCTGGCAGGTGGATTCTTTACCAGCTGAGCCACAAACTCGGATCTCCCAAGTATTCCAGAGGAACCAGAGCACAGTGGTTTACCAGGAGAGCTTGGGGCCAGGCTGCCTCTGCCCCTTACCAGGAAGCTGTGTGACTTTGGACGAGTGGCTCCATCTCTCTGGGCCTCATTTTTCCCAAGGCTGACATGGAGTTAATAATGGCATTTCCCTTGTGGGGTTGTGTAAGGATTAAAGAGGAAATATACAGGGACTTCCCTGGTGGTCCAGTGGTTAAGACTCCACACTTCCAATGCAGGGGTCAGGGGTTTGATCCCTGGTTGGGGAACTAGGATCCCACATGCTGCATCCCACGGCCGAAAAAGAGGGAACCAAAGAGTAAATAGACATAAAGCACTTTAAAAAACATCTAACACAGCATAGACATGTAAAAAAAAAAAAAATTAACTGATACAGTACTAATAACTAGACATCAGTTCCTCTTAATCTTTGACATCCTTAGAAAGCTATTTCACCAGAAGCAAGCTCATCCTGGCAGGGTTTACCCCCAGTTTCGACAGAGTCCCAGGCCCCGTGTGTGATCAGTTGCTCAGTGGTGTTCAACTCTTTGCAACCCCCCATGCACTTGGCAATACCCACCAGGGTCATCTGTCCACGGCATTTCCCAGGCGAGAGTACTGGAGCAGATTGCCATTTCTCCTCCAGGAGATCTTCCCAACCCAGCACTAGAGAACCCTGGAGGGGCCCCTGCTCCAGAGACAGCCCCCCCACCAAGCCCCTCCTCTACATATACAGACTTGCTCCCATCCCTTGCAGTCCCAAACCCTGTGGTTTTAAGGCGTCTGCCTCTATCTTGGCCCAGCTGTCCCCAAGGTCAGTCGCAGACCTCACTGCCTGTCCTGTCGCCTCCCCACACACTCTGATGCCAGATCCACAAACGCCCTGGTCTTGACCGTTCGGCCTGGCTGCCCCCTCACCTTGGCCCGGTTGCCCTGACGTGCATTTGCATTTGGTGCTCTTTGAGGTGAGGCGGTTTATAGCACAGGGCTGAGGTTATTAAACCCACTGGAAGAGGCCTCACACACCTAGAGGTAAACTCTGTGCTGAGGCTTAATTACGCACAGATGTTGTGATGGGTGCCAGGGTGCAAAACCAATCTATCTCCTGTTTGAAGAGCTGAACTGGGTGCACGGCGCAAAATTTGCTTCCCACTTGTTATGTGTTTAGGCAAAATTAATTACTCGGGAGCCTTAATTCCACCATTCTCTTAGGAGTGGGTGCGGGCTTGAGGAGCAGCAGGTCAAATAGTTACATTAATTATTTACCCATTTGGCAGCCTCCTTTCAAAAATTTGTGTTATTGTTATTATTACATGTCTTGGTCTGACAGATGCTAGCTGGCCCCAGCCAGGGGACGATTTTGCTGTTTCCATGGGAACAGTGGAGGAGATGGTTCTGTTTGTCTGGCTCACAGTACCAGCGCCGAGGACCACCCCTGCTGGGTAAGAGGCAACAGAAGGTCCTTAGATGAGCACCAGAGTTGAAGTCAGAAAATGCTGTTTGTACCCCCGCTCTTCTCCTCTAAGGCTGCCACCTGTAAAATGGGATGATGGTTGTCGGAAGGATGTCACGTCCCTGTGTCTGCCTAGTGTTCAGAGCCACAGAAGAAACATTCAGTAACTTCTGCCTATCCCCTCGCACAATCAACACTTCTTGGAAGCCCCACTGAGCTCCATATCTGGGCAGAATTAGATACTTCCTCTCGGGCATCCACAGAAACAGAGATCAGTCTCTGGCACAGTGCTAACAACCTGAACTACACAACCCACTGTGTGTGTGTCCCCCACCAGATGGGAGGTCTTCGCAGGCAGAAGCCTTGCCTATCTCTCTTGCCTATCTACACACCCCCAGATCCTAGCCCAGCCACAGGCTCAGGAAGTGCTCAATAAATGTGGAATAACGGAATGAAACAAAAGGAACAGGTGAACGGAAGTCATTTAGACCCGACAACACAATGCTTATTAGTTAATATTATTACTTGTGTGAAAAAGCCAAGTTTTCATTGAATTGGTGGTTTGAACCTCCAGGCGGGGCAATGGTACCAGATCATCTGGATTTGCACACACAATGGCATTTCTCTTGTAGGGCTGTGGAAGGACCAGCCCGTCAGGCATGCTGGGGGCGCCTTGCCAGACCTGACTCACTCCAAGAGCTGAACTTCACCAGCGGCTGCACCTTCCACCAAATCAGTGTCTCAAGACACCACACCAGCCACCAGAGTTGTGGGGCTTCATCCCACGGTCCGAGATTTAGGATTCTCAGGCAGCTAATGTAGACACAGCCTCCCTCCCCATCTCTGTTCATCAAACCGGAGAGCAGAAGTATAAACCACTGCTTTCAGTTTCTCAGGATGTCTTCAGAAGCCACGTGGACACTTCAGCCCCAAGCAAGAATCCTTCCAGTCGCCGTGCTGAGACACCCTGCCCAGGAAGAGCCCCACTTGACTGTTTGCTGCAGAACTAGGACCCGGAGCCCTGCACCCCATCTTCCCACAACCTCCAGGCCTCTCCCATGGAAGAGCAGAAAATGGATCTCTTCCGAGAGTTCAAAGCCAAGCTCTCCACATAGACTGCCGGGGGGCCTGACCCCCGCATTGCTGTGATGAAAGGGGTGCCCCTGGTAAATGGGTCCAAGCCCCGCCACAAAATGTACTGGAAGAGCAAGAGGCATGGGTTTGCATCTCTCTCATTCCAAACTCCACGGGCCCCATGGGCAACATTAGGACAGTCCTCCAAGACCAGCTCTAAGGCTGACTCCTCAGCAGAGCCTTCCCTGCCCTGCTCCCCCCGGAAGCCCCTTCTTCTGAATCTCTCACTGAGCTGGGACTCTGTGTCATTGGGTGTTGTCTCCCATGGTAAGTGTCGCCTACCACGTCAGCAGTTCCAGTAAATACTTGAAAACATGAATCTGTTCCAATGTAATAGATACGTGAGGCAACAATTTGATCATAACACAGATTTTACATTTGTTGATGGTGCAGCACCATCCATGAGAAATACTCGAAAGTGCAGAAAAGTTGTATCCAGCTGATCCAAACAGGAACATTCAAAGCAGGCACACCTCAAATATCGCCATGTGTGTGATGGGTCACAGCCCCCCACATCGGACATCACAACTTCTGTCCAATTTCAGATGACCCCCGCTACCACCTCTTCACAGGAACTCCCAAGCAGCAACTCTTCTGATGCCCATTTCCGCAAGCCCGTGTCCAGTAAAGTGCTGTGTGTTCTGTGATCTTCTGTATTTCTTAGCCATTTAGTGTGTGCCAAAGTATGCTAGCATTTCATTAGGTTCCCATCTGCTTTTATTTTCTGGATCACCGGTGACATTTTTGAGTGTTGTAAGCCTAACCCCCCTTTTGCCCATAAACCCTGTGGTTTCTATTGTGCCATTCTGCAAACAGTGGAGATTTTTAGGACATGTATATTGCAGACCTGTGTATTCAGTGAGCTGATGTAATAAAGTTTTAGGAAACACATCAGAGCACAGTAACGTGAGCTATCATCACCATCACCATCATCATCAGTGTCATCAACCCATGATTCATGGAGGCTGAGACCATGGCTTACAGGCCCTCAGGAGGGCTCAGGGTCTTGCAATTGCAGACCATTCTGTAGACATCAATTTGCTTGACAGGTCAACAGTCCCCTTTGGTAATTTGTAACTTAGCCTTCCAGAGAAGGCAATGGCAACCCACTCCAGTACTCTTGCCTGGAAAATCCCAAGGACGGAGGAGCCTGGTAGGCTGCAGTCCATGGGGTCGCACAGAGTCAGACACGACTGAAGCGACTTAGCAGCATCAGCAGCAACTTGGCCTTCAAGGACTTTAACATGCATCACCAGGGACAAATCAGTCATCCTCAGAGAGAAGACCCAAGAAGGAGACACCCCCTGCGGGTCTTGCAAGAGGAGAAGCTCAGGGCTGGGATCAGTCCTCCCCTGTCCTCTTCTGCCCAGCCACCAGGCCCCCAAGGCCCTGCCTTCTTACCTTTAAGAAGTCAAAGTGCTTCAGCATTTGGGCCACTTTCTCAGCGTTCCTTCCCTCATTGAGGAAATCCAACTCCAAAGGCAGGTTCTTCTTGGCTTCATCCACCAACCACATGAACTCAAATTCTGGAAACAGCTGCTTCACAGCCAGGACAAGCACCTGAAACCCACAAGCACCCCATCAGCCAGTCCATGACTCCCACCAAGGGCGGTCTATTCCCGGTCCTCCTGCCTGGTCTGGGCGTTGACAAGTCCCCAGGCCTCCCCTGGAGTAAGGATGGGTGGGGAAGGGGACCCCCTGGGGCCCATCTCTGTAATCCAAATCTTAGATCATAGAAGCCCAACAACCACCAGCAGAAACCACCTCTACCATTTGCCGGGTGCTCCCCATTTGCCCAGCACTGGGTAAGAGCTATTACTCACCTTATTCCTCCATTTAGGTCTTCACAGTGTCTCTGGGAAGTATACACACTTATCAGCCCCATATTACAGATGAAAAAAGTTGAGGTTCTCAGAGGTTATACGATTTTTACTAAATTTGCCCAGCAAGGAAGCCCAGAGCCAGATTTCCCCCTGGGTCTATTTGGCCCCGAAACCCTCACTCTTAACCACATCACTGAACTACCACCTTTGTTGATCCGAGATTTGTGCTTTGTGGTCCTGTCAATTAAGGGCCATGGAGGGGGCTGCGGCTGTAACTGCATTCTGCCTATTTCTTCGGCTGAGTATTGGTATCTGAGCATTTGTAACATCTTTTATGCTTTTTTGTACATCTAAAATATCTCATGATAAAAAATTATATTGGAATCAGTCCTCCCCTGTCCTCTTCTGCCCAGCCACCAGGCCCCCAAGGCCCTGCCTTCTTACCTTTAAGAAGTCAAAGTGCTTCAGCATTTGGGCCACTTTCTCAGCGTTCCTTCCCTCATTGAGGAAATCCAACTCCAAAGGCAGGTTCTTCTTGGCTTCATCCACCAACCACATGAACTCAAACTCTGGAAACAGCTGCTTCACAGCCAGGACAAGCACCTGAAACCCACAAGCACCCCATCAGCCAGTCCATGACTCCCACCAAGGGCGGTCTATTCCCGGTCCTCCTGCCTGGTCTGGGCGTTGACAAGTCCCCAGGCCTCCCCTGGAGTAAGGATGGGTGGGGAAGGGGACCCCCTGGGGCCCATCTCTGTAATCCAAATCTTAGATCATAGAAGCCCAACAACCACCAGCAGAAACCACCTCTACCATTTGCCGGGTGCTCCCCATTTGCCCAGCACTGGGTAAGAGCTATTACTCACCTTATTCCTCCATTTAGGTCTTCACAGTGTCTCTGGGAAGTATACACACTTATCAGCCCCATATTACAGATGAAAAAAGTTGAGGTTCTCAGAGGTTATACGATTTTTACTAAATTTGCCCAGCAAGGAAGCCCAGAGCCAGATTTCCCCCTGGGTCTATTTGGCTCCAAAACCCTCACTCTTCACCACATCACTGAACTACCACCTTTGTTGATCTGAGATTTGTGCTTTGTGGTCCTGTCAATTAAGGGCCATGGAGGGGGCTGCGGCTGTAACTGCATTCTGCCTATTTCTTCGGCTGAGTAGTTGGTATCTGAGCATTTGTAACATCTTTTATGCTTTTTTGTACATCTAAAATATTTCATGATAAAAAATTATATTGGAATACGAAACCAAGAGTGGACACGACAAGAGGAGTAAGAGATAAGTGATTTGTCCACTTGGATGAAAAGCTTGGATTTCTGGCAATCTGGGCCCATTGTGGATTCCTGAGTCAGGACGTGATGAAAGAGGGAGTTTTAGAAGACTTATCTGGCATTTCAGTTGTCAGTTTAATGATGTGAAAGAAACATGACTGGCACAGAACAAGAGCCCAGAGATACCTGCAGGGCACAGCACAGCCCCTCTGTGGGCACGGACTCAGTTTTGAGGCTACACTGGAGCTCTGGGTTTGAGATGGTCTCACAAGTTCATGAACAATGGCTCTGTAGTGAGAAAGCGAGGGTAATGCCGGGGCCATGGGAAATGTTCCAGCACTGGGGGTGGGGTGGGGCAGAAGGCAACTTTTCCTGCTCTCCTATAAACCGTCCTGTTGGTATTCAAAGTCAGGCCTGGGGAGAACCACTTCCCATCTGTGATTCTTGATATAGACTATGGTCCAAGTCCTCTGAGAATCCCCATCTCTGGCCTTGGCCAGAGCAGAAGGACAAGGAGCGAGAACTGAAGAACCATGGGCCTATTGGTACCAGGAGACCTTCCTCCGCTGTTAAGGAAATGTAATGCTTATGTAGCCCCCCAAATTCATATGTCAAGCCCTAACTTCAGGGAGACAGTGTTTGGAGGTGCGGTTTTTGGAAAGTAATTGGGCCTAGAAGAGACCATGAAGGTGAGGTCCCGGTGACAGGTCAGTGTCCTTATAAGAAGAGAAAGACTGAAGCTCCCCACTTCTCTGCCAGGTAAGGACACAGAGAGAAGGCAGCCATCTGTCCACAAGCCAGGAAGAGGCTCCCACTGGGAACGGAATCAACCAGCATCTTGAGCTTGGACTTCCCAGCCTCCAGACCTGGGAGAAATAAGTGTCTGTGGTTTAAGCCTCCCAATTGATAGTATTTTGTTGCAGCAGTCGAAGCTAACCAAAACACCACCCACTCCACCCAGGCCTTGCTGGGTCCCAGAAACAAGCCTTATCTCCTGCTTCTGTTTGCCCTGGTCTGTGATATGATTCCAACACTGTATTAGGCACACACAGTGCAGCGAAATAAATCCAGAGCAGGGCCATTAACTACAAGGCATTTACAGCTTTGTTTTTAAATCCTATGTCGGAGGCAATGTACCAGATGCCATTCTAAAAGAATCATCACACGGGGTTATTATACTCGATTTCTCCCAAACCCTCTTTAATTACATTTGGCTGCAGTCTAATTTCTTTTAGGGCTTGTCTAGTCTTTCATGGGCTAGACCTGTGACCTTATGATAATCGATTTAGTTTATGTTTTGTTTCTGTTGGTGTCACACGAAACAAGAAGGGAGAGGTGGCAAGAATAAGGGCCTGACTGTGTCAGATCCGGGCGCCGCGTCTCGTCACCGTGCCCTCAGATGGCCCCTGGCTGCCGCCCGAGGGGAAGCAGAGCTGGTGCACAGGAAACAGAAGCACCTGCCCGGCCCAGCTGAGCGGTCATCTGAGGCACCTGAATTCTAGTCTCTGGGCTCCAAGTTTCAAGCAAGAAGCAAGCCTCTTATGTGTTTTGCATGCTGCATGCTAAGTCGCTCCGGTCGTGTCCGACTCTTTGCAACACCATGGACTGTAGCCTGCCAGGTGCCTCTGTCCATGGGGATTCTCCAGGCAAGAATACTGGAGTGGGTTGCCATGGCCTCCTCCAGGGGATCTTTACAACCCAGGGATCGAACCCACATCTCTTATGTCTTGCATGGGAAGGTGGGTTCTTAACCACGAGCGCCATCTGGGAAGCCCTCGTGTGTTTCACTCCAGCCTAGGTTCCGGAGCTTCTCACCCAGGAGGGACGAGGAAGGAGCCACAATGAGTCTTACTCATCTTTTTCAGCCAAAATGTATTTACTGATTACCTTCTAGATAATGACCCTGGACCAGCCATAGATATACACAGAGACCCACATGTAGCCAGGTGGGGTCTATATCAGGCGATGAGGCTTCTGTGGCCACACACTACCTCCTCATCGTCGACTGTCTGGTCACTGTCATTTGTGAAATTTTAAATTATCGTTAATATCCAAACAGCCCTGAAAGGCACCTTAAAGATTTTTCTGTTACCAATCAATTATGTGATTAGTTCTTACTAATACTATTGGTTATTATTAATACTTTATATCATTAATCATAAAAGCAGTCAAAGATTTTATTGGTTGATATTAACTGCTACTAAGTTAGTAAACTAATTCATAACCCCTGGGACTTTGCAGGACCTATAAAACTGGTTTCCAAACCATTCTTGGTGGTTGGCAAGTCATTCCCTTGCTTACTTTAAAATGAGAGGGTCTGTGTGGATGGAAGTTAGTGGTTCATAGTTTTAGAGGACATCATCCCCTTTATAGGAAGTCACCAATTTGAAAATGTGATGCCAGCAATGAAGTCCAGAAAACGCACATACTCCCATAATTTTGTACATAATTTGGGGGTTTATCACCCCTTGAACTTCAAAGGGAGGGTGAGGTCAGGTTAATAGGCATCCAGGCCGAAAAAAAAAGTGTCATCTGATCCAAATCTAAAACAGTTTGGGCTGCTGCCACTTTGGACTTTTCTGGACTTAGGAAAAGAAAACGAAATTCCATTTCTCCCTCTGTTTTCATTCAGTTCCCTTCTGAAGAGCCTGCCCCAAGTAGATTCTCTTAAGTTTTTCTTTCTTGACAACAGATGCAATCAACTAAAATAAAACAGGTGTTGTTATCAATTTGACTTTTTGATTTTTCTCCCAAATTCATCTTCTCCATAAAATTCTTCCAACTGCCAGTGTTTTCACCAGTGCCTAGCATGTATTCAACACTCAGCAGATGTTTACTGAATATTCACATGAATGAATGAGTGAATAAATGAACATTCCAAAAGGTCAGCCTTCTCCCCAGAAATAGTTATATGCTCACATGTGCATTACGCAAATGGATTACATCTGTATGCCTTGGAGATTTGGGTGGAAGGGATTACCTCTGAATGTAGGGGAACCACAGTTTTGAAATGCCTAAGAATATTCTACTTGACTTGAAGCCTTGTTGATCAATCAGGGTATATTCAACAATTAATAGTTCCTTCAAGGGAGAATAATGAAATCATTTTCCTGTAGGACTATTGGCTCCCAGGAAGAAAACTAAATTATGGACCACGCACAAACATAATGGAAAAATTGAAAGTCACATAAAAGTTTGAAAATTAGTGATTGCTACATATGATAGCAAAAAAATGGGAATTATCATTATTGAGACATAAGCGCTGCACTATGAGACACTTGATATACATGCTCTAATTCTTTCTCTTCTTGCCCATCTCACAGAGAAGGAAATTGGATCCAAGAGGTTAAAGCATTTCTCAAGGTCACATAGCTTGCAATTTCAAATGCAGGACTCGGACTGACTTTTTTTTTTTTCGTTTCACTTCTTTCTTTACTCAGTCCTGTCTCAAGCAATATAATATAGGACAATACAATAGAGAGCCTGAGATAAAGCATAAAAGGAGCTTTGTAAACTGTAAAATGCCACTGAAATTTGAGTTACTGCTATCAACTTATTATATATTATAAAAGAAATAATGGTCTACGGGAAAACAGGACGCTAAACAGAACACCTGCACGGATCCGAACTGGCAAAAATGGACGTTCGACAAGGATCGAAAATCAATTCAGAGTGATGTAAATAGCTTACCATTCATGGAGTTTATCTTTGTTCAGATAAGTTATTAAAGTGCATACTGTTTAGAAAACAGAATTACAGGGTGAAGAGAAGTTTCCAAGGGATGATCTACATCTCTGGGGCTTTCAAAAATGTATTAAAAAAAAATAAAATCAGCTGTTGGATTCTGTGCCAACACAAACATTACCTAGCCACCCACTGTTCAATCAACACACTCAGAAAAGAAACAAGATGACAGCACGCACTGAAAATGTTGTTCAAAAAAAATCAAAAACATAACTGTCACAGGTCTTTATTTTTAGAGACCCTGGGTATGAGCCAGAGGCCATCAAATGGTGGATGGGTTTCTGGTGCTCAGATCTGAGCATCCTGCCCTAATGCTGCAGACCTTGGGGACAGGTGATACATGAAGGACCTGGTCAGGAGTTAGATTCTTTAGGATACAGCACAAGGCATTCATTATCAAGTTCAGAAGCTTGAGAGATAACAGGGTGTGATACAGGGTAGTGCTCTCGAAACCTGGGAATGATGGTCTTAACACTGCCTCACAGGTCAACTGAGTCCTACCCTATTCTCAGACAGGAGAGTGGCAGTGATTCCCAGCCTGCTAAGTAAGCTCCCTGCTCTCGTGGGCAGGCAAGGA